AAAGGCATCTGTGGCGATAAGCAGGAGCGTGAAGACACCCGCATGTTTTTCATGTACTGGGAAGTACGTAGTTGCAATTACTCGACGGAGCACCGCTGTCCCTAGGGCCAGTGCGGTAATGCGACACATGGCGTCTTTGCGCCCCAGGAAAAGCCACAATGCTGAGTTGCCGCCGAAGACTGATGTCGGACCACCACGCTGTACGTCACTGACTGATGGGCCGCTGACACTCAAATCAGCGACACATGTCCAGGCACACGCCCTCGGAGGCGCCTAGGTAGCGACTGCCGTTCGACAGAATGGGTGGTCAGCCCAAATGGCGAGATGACGGACTCATCACACCCCACTTGCTGGAAGCAAGATTTGCCGGATGAGACAGCATCGCCGGAACCATACCCATGTTTGGGTTGTGAATGTATGTCGGGGGCAGTGTCGACATAATGATCCTCCGGAGTGCTGTGGGGCCTGTTGCGCAGTATGGACCTATGCAGCTGGTTATGATCTAGGGAAACGAGACTGTTTATAATCAACCCTCGGGGGCTGGTCAGGGAGCCTTTTCGATGTAGTGCTTTGGGCCAGAGAGCTCTTGCCTTGTACATATTGTAAATAAATCCTGTTCCCCTTCCTCTTGCCTCGACATCTTCATCCCGGATCTCCAGTGCGTGCAAAGGCCGGTCGCAACAACGTGCAGAAGCATCGACGTTCCTCTAGACTTACCTTGTGCGTACTCTGATCTTGCAATTCAGTCGTCCTTGAAGGCCCTTCCATCATCGGGAATGTTCTGGTCACATTCTTTACAACTTTCACAAAATCATGAAAGGGTAATGTCTTACCGCTCGTACTGCTGGAAGCAAACTGGCGATCGGCTAAGGGTAGGCCCCCACGACATTGCCAAATGAATGGCAGAACTAAGGAGTAGAATTATGCGTATTACTTTCATAATGGGCCCTATATACTCATAAATCACTGATATTGGCCTAAATTTTAAATATATTTATAGTGTTTAAAAATTCAACACTTTAGCTTCGGCTTCAGGAATAGAACCCAATTGCGTAATCGAGGGGCTCTGTGTGCAGCGCCTTGTCAATTGCTAGCCTAACTTCGGTTTTCGGTGCAAGCGTCGATTGTACCATATGGTAACAAACGATATTGCTCGCGACAGTGGTCGTTTCAAGGTATCCTATAGAATGTCTCCTGCAAGGGCACTCCGCCTCCACAATTCTTCATTTTGCCAATCAGTGAAGGACCTATACTACGCATCCCTAAGGCAACCTAGGCAGCTGCCGAGTTTGTTCATGCTCTTGCAACTGGTTATGATTAAATGTGTCCAAGGATTCTATAATGGCTGGTCCTTTAAAAAATCACTTGTGAAATTCACATATTTTGACGCCATGTGCGCTTCTCTCAGGCAATATTACATGTGTTGTAGGAGACTCCACTTCTACAAGACATTCACACAGTGCTTTTTCCTGAAGCAGTTTTAAGCAACGGCATAGCTTTGTGGTAGAACACCTGCTTATCACGGAGACGACCCGATTCTCACTAAAAGAGAATTTTTTTTTTTCGTTTAGTCTATTTGAATCTTTGTCGATTTTTCAGTGATTTTTCGCTCAGAACCGCTGACTCTGACACCGGAATTATTGCGAAACGGGCTCCTTAACATTATCGTGTCAAATTAGCTGATACGTTACTCTGATTTAATCACTCTTACTCTCAGGGTGCATAAAGGTGTTACAATGGGGGGTGAGTAATACAAATACAGTCAAATCTCGATAATTTGAACTCAAAGGGGCCCAAAAATTTAATCAAATTAAAAAAGTTCAAATTAATGAAAGCTAAGTAAACGGATGGCTCCCCACGCAGTGGCGCATGTGCATTGAACTAACACACGAGGGGGAAGTTTCAGAAGACTTACATTTATTCACAAATCACAGGACATCCCTCATTAATTGAAGTAATTGGTGATGCGCGTCTGCACACGTTTGCCTTGCAGCGAGTCAATCAATTTCACACCCAGCTTGCAAAGCATGTCTACTTCGACTTCAGCATTCTCCTGGCAAGAGAAGTTGCACGCGGCAATGTCCAGCCCCGACACACTCTCAAGACTACAACCACGAATCAACGACTGCATCTGCGCTACTACCCTCTGCGACAAAGCTGCAGCGTGGCTAGCACGCGACGAGACAAGAGGAGCGTCTCCACGCGAAGAGAAGCAGACCGGCATTTGAGAGAAAAACAACACTCCAGGGCAGCTGCTTTTTTTTGCTCTCTCCCCGCGCATCAATGAAAGGAGAAAGGTTATGTAGCAGGGACACGAAAGGAGGAAGCGGAGCACCGGCGCGTGAGAGAGAGCCACACTACACGATAGCTTTTTTTTTTCCCTCCCTCTCTTTACGCACGGCGTTGGAAGGAGAGGAGTCTTTACGTGACAGGGCTGAAGAAGAGAGAAGCATGGCACAGGAGCGTCGCACATCGGCATGTGAGACCGCAAACATTCCACCGCAGCTTTTTCTTTCCTTCGCGCACAGCGTTGAGGTGTCAGAGGTGCCGCGGCGGGATTGGGCTGGGTGCTGAGAGCGTTTTCGGAGCATGGTACGTTCGAATTAACCGTCTGAAGTGCTTGCGTGTTAGAATTACCGGGCGTTTACGCCCATTGAAATACACATAGCTTTGATGGGACCTTATAGTGAGTTTGAATTAACCGGAAGTTCAAATCAGGCGCGTTCGAATTAATGAGATTTGACTGTACAGAAAATGCAAAAATACAGAACATATAAATACAACAAATTAAGGAAAATGCATGATCGAACAAACTAGGCTACTACAGGTTGCGGACATAATCGGTTAGTGCAGCCTTGAATGATGATGCGTCCTCGATGCAGGTGATGGAGGAAGGAAGGCGGTTCTACACAGCCCGTTTTTGTGAAAAGTAGTATGAAAAAAAAAAAGTGGCAGAAAGAAATGAAAACTTTATATTAATGATCAAGACTCAATGAAATGTAAGAAGGTGCTGAGATGAATTCCTGTTTAAGTGACTTATTTTGGCATTTATTTTAAAAAAATGACTCAGAAATTTTTATTCAAAGTTTAAAGTTTGTTAGTCCAAAGCCACCCACTCCCAAGGTTCACCACACCCACTACTGTATTTTACTGAGAACGCTGAAGGACAGATGCTCCAGGAAAAAGGAAACCTTCAACGCACCACTCGAACTCTTATACCTCCGTGTGGATCAGACCTCCCCGGTGGTTTAACCCACCGAGAGAAGGTTACGTTGCAAAGGCTTGATGTTGGGGTTGCGCTTACCCCATCCGTGACCACCGTTTGGGCGCAAAAGTACAGAGGCCCGTATAGCACATCATGCCCATTTTGTGACGCCCCGATCCAAGATGTAACTGCCTCACACTTACTGTGGACCTGCACTAGTCTACATTAAGTCGCCGTCGTCACATCTGTCCAACATGTCTCAGGCCTGGCCAACCACCCGACTTTGACCGCAGGCTTCGTGAACCACACCACCATTCTCTACTGGACTTAATACATCAAGAAAACTTGTATGTGTATTTTTTAATAAAAAAATATTATGCCTTGAAACAGACTTTTGAAGTAAAAAAAAATACCATTTCATTAGTGAAAGGCGCTGAATGATTCTGAAGTGGTTCAATGATAGTTGATGTTTTTTTACCAGAATTCCGAACACATGAAGCATACTTGAGCTTCGGTCTTATTCCATATCTATAAGTGGATGATGGTGTGGTGTTTGCGGCTGTGGCAATGCTTCTAAACCTTTTTCAAAGTAGTTAGTCAAGCCTCTTGTGCTATGATGTGGTATCTGCAATCAACCATATTGTTACGGGAAGGAGACTAACTCAGAGGGGTAGTCAACGATGTATTTTCAGCAGGTTAGGCGAGCAGCGCCAGCCACACAGATTAGCTCGCGCCAGTCTACCTGCTTTGTCTTCTTCAGTTCCATGCACTGGCACGTAGCATGACCCCCAGCGGCGGAGGCACCGTCCCGGTGCTTTAAAGGTCGTTATCCGACGCATTATTGTAGGACTTGATCCGCGAGACGTGTACGATATCACTGGGCCGCATACTAGATAATGATGGACAGATGGGGCTGATCTCGTAAGTGACAGGTGTTACTTGACGCAATATACGGTAGGGTCCCGTGTAATGAGACAGAAGTTTTTCGGATAGGCCCAGCCGACGATGAGGGGACCAGAGTACTACGAGGGTGCCGGGAGCGAAATGTACGTCTCTATGTTCCGCATCGTACCGACGGCATTGGTTGGTTTGCGACGCCATCAGCCGAGCGCGAGCGAGCTGACGGGCATGATCGGCTCGCGCAATCGCGTCGCAGGCATACTCGCTGGTGGACGAGGTGTGAGCTGAGATGACTGTGTCCAGTGGTAAAGTCGGCGCTCTTCCGTACAATAAGTAGAACGGCGAAAAGCCCGCTGTGTTGTGACGGGATGAATTATACGCGAAAGTTGCGTAGGGTAAGGCAAGGTCCCAGTCTCGGTGGTCGGGCGACACGTACATAGCGAGCATATCTGTTAAAGTGCGGTTAAATCGTTCCGTGAGGCCGTTTGTTTGAGGGTGGTAAGCGGTTGTCAGTGTGTGTTGCATGGAACAAGAACGCAGAATGTCGGCGTTGACTTGGGATAGAAATGTACGGCCATGGTCTGTAAGAAGCTGTCTCGGAGCACTGTGAATCAATATAACATCCCATAACAAGAAGTCAGCAACGTCGGTTGCACAGCTGGTCGGTAGAGCTCGTGTAATAGCGTAGCATGTAGCGAGAGGTACGGGGATCGATACCCCGCACCTCCACCAAATATGTTACGGGAAGGAGACTGACTCAGAGGGGTAGTCACCGATGTATTTTCAGCCGGTTAGGCGAGCAGCGCCAGCCACACAGATTAGCTCGTGCCAGTCTATCTGCTTTGTCTTCTTCAGCTCCATGCACTGGCACGTAGCAATATTAACATCCCTTAAATTGCATTTGTAGAAAGCAAGACTTTATTGGATTAAAATAAAAACCTTTTCAGTTTCCAGAGGTTACGAAAAGAGAGAAACAAAACTTTACAAAAAAACACTAAAATTCCTAGAAAAATGCATGGCGAGACAATGATAACAAAACATCGGACTTTTGTTCACATCAAAGTGAAGCAATGCGCCCTCTCTCAATCAAGCATAGACACACACACAGTACAGCCTGCTCATGAAGATATCACGCAATATTAAATGATGCACAGTCAAATGCTTCTACAATGAAATTTCTGCCACATGAAAAATTCGACTACTCGTCAGCTGCACAAAGAAAATACAACAAAGAAAGTAAGTTCATAATGAATATGTTTCCTAGACGTATACTCCCATCTATATGAGTTCTGATATTACAAATGTAATAGTGCTTTTTCATGACTGCAGTAAGCACCTGTGACTTCCTTCGAATGCGGTGATATCGCAACACCTGTGTCTTCACCGTCTCTTAACTATGCTGCACTTTCGCCTACCATACAAATATTTTAATAAATTGTTTATTAGTCGGCTGCTGAGCGACAGATCATCCGCCGAAATGCAGCCAGTGAGTATGAGGCTAGTGCACTGCAGTCAGTTCATCGCTTGGCTGATGCAGATGCATTGTCCTCATCATCAGCCTGAATACGCCCACTGCAGGACAAAGGCCTCTCCTATGATTCACCAATCAACCTGGTCTTGTGCTTTATGCTGCCACGTTATACCTGGAAACTTTTTAATCTCATCAGCCAACCTAACATCCTGTCTTCCCTTCGTGCGTTTGTTTTTACTGGGAATTCAGTCAGTAACCCTTAATGACCAGCGGTTATCCTGCAACATGCTATGTGGCCAGCCCATGTCCATTTTTTTTCTTCAGGATTTCAACTACGATATCCTTAACCCCGGTTTGTTACCTGACCCACTCTTCTGTCTTCTTGTCTATTAAGGTTAACCCAGTGATTTTTCTTTCCAATGCTCACTGCTTCGTCCTCAATTTAAGCTGAACCCTCTCAGTAAGCCTCCAGGTTTCTGCTCCACAGGTAAGTTATACCGGCAAGATGTGGCTGTTATATACGTTCCTCTTGAGGGGTAGTAAAAATCTACCAGCCATGATTTGAGAATGCTTGCTGGATGTGCTCCACCCCATCCTTATTATTATAGTTACTCCGATATCATGGTTCACCTCCGCAGTTGCTACCTGTTCTAAGTATACGTACTCTTCTACAACTTCAAATGCACTGCTACCTATCTTGAAGCGCTGTTCTATTCCGAGGTTACTTTCACACATTACTTTCGTTTTCTGCAGATTCACTTCAAGACCTACTTTTCTCCTCTCCTCGTCTAATTCAGTAATTATGAATTGTAATTCGTTCGCTGAGTAACTCAGAAATGCAATGTCAGGAGGTCCATCATTACCTCATTCTCACCAGCGGCTTTGCCTCTTTGCATTCTTTCTAGGTCTTTCCGTACTTCGCCTGTCATTACTGGTAGGATGTCGAATTCCTCTGGGCTATTGCTTCTTACGATATCGCCTCGGTTGTTTCGGCTTCTGTACAGCTCTTTGTAGAATTCTTCCGCCACCTCAACTATACTACCCTTGTCCCTTAAAGCACACATCTGATTTTTGCCTATGCACAAGTTTGCCTTTGCAGCATTTAGACTTAAATCTAATTTCTTCACCATCCCCTGAGCGGTACTCCTTCAAAAATTGTGGAAAACAGCCACAACCACACGCTCTTTTCCCCCAAATTAAACTGCAGTTGCTTTTAACACAATCACAGACGGTGACCACAGAGCTTTAAAGGACCAGTTTATGAAACACTAAAGTGAAAAGAAGATAACAAAACACCACTTTTGTTGCTTGATAAGCTAGAAAGTTGAATGCTTCTATGGAGATGTAGAGTCAGTTATTAATAAACTAAAGACACAGTATATTATCCTAATGAGCGACTTCAATGCCAAAGTAGGCAAGAAACAGGTCAGAGACCATGAAATAGGAGAATATGGCACACTTTACGCCAAAATTCGGCAAAGCTGGACTAACTGCAATTGTTTAACCAATGGACGAACGGTTCGTCCAACAGGGACTAAATGCGTGACAGTGCGTGTCGTGAGCAAATGCCCGGCAATGAAGGTACTAACGGGGAGGGTAATTGCGCCGTAATCATCTTCTGTCGATGCTGCACTGCAATGCTCGACCCGGTCGACTATCACGAAAACAAGTTATATCGCTATGCGCCACATTAAATGTGAAGCACTATGAAACAAATAAAAGCTGTTGTGAGAGGCAAGTTCAACACGCAGTCATTGCACACATCAAGCGCCCTCACGTTTCCAGCGTGCCAACACGGGCAGGCTGAAAACAAGTGAAAGTCTTCAAGCACGAGAATGCGGATAACTCGCTTCAATGTGCTGAATTAGAACTGCGAAGAACACTGACAGCGCTAATAAAATTAAGCTGTTCGTCAGGGGTCATGTACGCGCACAGTCACTGGCCACAACTTCAAAGCGATATATAGAAAAAGTAGGCAAAAGAGTAAGTGCTAGGGGGTAACAGTTGAACCCTTGCAGTTGCTCCCACAGTTTTTCCAAATTGGTTCAAAATCTGTGGAAGCTCATTCAGTCCCTTAAGGACCAATGGCATACCCCCCCTTTAGTCATTTTCGGTTTAACGTGTGGCATTGGCTCTAGAAATGCCAGAAAAGAATTATTAGTAGAGTTCGCAGAACGTAATAATTTAGTTGTCGCGCCGATTTGTTTGACTTTTTTATTGCACCAAAAAAAAAAACATCCCAAAAAAAAATTAGAACAGGGGGGGGGGGGGGGCATAAACACTGGCACTGCGTGGTCTCGCACCGGCTTAGATGGCTGAACACCCGATGGTAGAGCTTCCAAACTACAGTGTAGCCGTACTCACACGAGGGAGAAATCCCCCAGAGAAGAGGCGAGGATGGCTTATCACGTGACAACGATATCACGGGTTAGTGTGTCGACGCGACCTCTTCGCGGCTCCTCGGGCGAGGTGGGGACCCTTTCTTTGACCAGTCAAACGATACCTAATGGCATGATTTGGCCGCAAAAGAGACACACACAAGAAAAGGAACACTCAAACGACAAGCACAGTCGTTTGAGTGTTCCTTTTCTTGTGTGTGTCTCTTTTGCGGCCAAATCATGCCATTAAGTAAATACCAACTAGGCCAACAATCAGTATTATTACAAACGATACCTGCGCTGCGGGAGATGTAGAGAAATTTTGAGTAGGTCTCTGGCCTCATTGTAGCCCTCTCTTCTGCAAAACGGAGCGGTGACGGCCTTTCCAAATTACGTTCCAGAATTGCGGGCACCGTGATGGCACAAATGAATGATGAAGAGAGAGAGAAAAGTAAACGTTTATTTTGAAACAGTGCCCCGAGCAATGCCCGGTGTCACCCTGAGGTGGGAGGGCTCCTTAGCCCAGGAACCCTCTGGCTTCTACAGCCCTCTTGGACCTGGCGACGAGTTGTTGTTGGTCTTCTAGGTTCTCGAGGGTGAATGATAAAGCAACTTTTTTTTTTTCTTTTCTCTCGTGGAAGAATATCCTTGCTTGTAGGACATCTCTTTCGTTGACTATAGTAAAACTAACTTAAAAAGAATGGTGTGTGGGAAATGACACACTACCCTCTCTATGGAGTGATATTTAGTTTTGTTTTAATGTGCTTATTCTCAGAAGAATTGTGGCATCACCCACTTTTGTTGTTGTTGTTTTTGCTGCTGCGACTACTGCGCTGCTTGTTCAGCCTGATGAAGATGTCTTACTTTATGTGGACATTTGAAAGATGATAGTCTTTTTTTAACTGACCTCTTTATTCAAGATTAGATGTTTAAAAAATAGGCAGTTGTAGAACCTGAGCGCTGCTTTTTATTTTTCGGAAACATGACATACTTCACATTTTACTTTAGCGGCTGCACTGATGCAGCCGGTTTTTAGGCTGAATTTGCATAGTGAAGACAAAAGTGGTCTTTTATTACCTTGTGTTTCAAAATTATAATGGTTGTACAGATAATTGTCAAATATTATTAGGCTACATCACTTCTGTTCTCGGTTGTTCTTATGAGAGAAATGTTATAAAGCATAATTCCTTCGTTCACGAAAGCCAACCTACATTTAAAGATATTTCATTGAAATTCCTATCTACCAACTCAACAGTAGTATAAGTCAGAGAGGCTCTGAGCAATGTTGTAGCCGAGAAAAAAAAAAGTCGTTGTCAACGACGTTGCCAGGAATGCCACTTTGGATGAGTTCGTCTTTGCAAAACAGAAAAGCTTGTGGTAGCAAGTCAAACCCAACACTAAGCCACGTCTGCATTCCATAAAAAACATATAAACAAGAGAGTTTCTAAAAGCAGCAAAGTGGTAGGGAGGGTGCGAAAGGGGCACTTCCCTCAAACCATACAAGCACTTTGTTCACCAGACAGGATACAACGCGGCTTTGACCTCCCCCCCCCTTCAAGACGAAATCTTGCGGATATCTATGGCTGGGGGTAAAAAAAATTCTTCAGTGCTCCCGCTCCATTATATGGTGGAGGCTCTGGCCACATTGATCTCCCCCACCGTTCGCCTCGTTCGTGTGAGTGAGGGACATTTAGAAAAATTTCACGCTTGTTGATGTCACTAGGCTCTGCCTTTATCCCTCGTGGATTTCTGCTTCGTATGAATACCGCTTAAAAAGTGCGAGTTTCAGAGGGGGGGGGGGGGGGAAATATACTCGTACCTCTCAAAATTTCGCGTTATCCAAATAACTAGCAAAATCTATTTTTCTCAAAAAACGTGTGTATGTCTTCCCGGGGCGCAAACAGATGGGACGGCGCATCCAGCTGCCAGGAAAGCACGGGTTGAAACTTAGCTTAGGCCCAACTGAAAACTTTATGCCAAAGTATAGCGAAAGTACCCCAATGGACAGGAACAGCACTACTAGATTAATTGTACAGGAATGCCAAAACCCCTTTAGCGTTTTTTTTACATATTTATCGCCTCTACTACTGCATTATCCGTGTGCCCTCTGCTAGTATTCGTATTGCTGCAACCGCGGTTTCGCACGCGGTAATTGTAGAAAACATGCACATGTGCTGGCTGCGCACGTGCCTTTAAAACCATATCGTTCTTTTGCTATCTATGATTGCATCTGCCGCGATTTTGACCACAGCGTTTGTGGAAAGCATCATCATTTTAACTGGCCAAGCATAAAACGCACGTGTACTATTGGAGTTCTGTCAGTTACATAGTATCCACATACAATCGTGTCAAGAGTGACTGTGGTTTCGTCCACAGCGAGCATAGAGCGCACAAGCAATTTTAGAGTTCTGTCAGTTAGATAGTCCCCACACATGATCGTGCCAAGAGCGACCGCGGTTTCGTCCACAGCGGTTGTGGCAGATGACAACTGCAGTTCTGAGAGTGCGTGCACTGGCCGCGCGCGTCCTTCAAAAGCTTTGAACACGCTGCTCCCCACCTTCGTTTCACGGTTTTGGCACTAAAGTTTATATGACCTGCCATGATGACAAAAAAAACTCTGAACATACGAATTTTGGCCCAATGGTTGTTTAGATGAACGCCTCCTAAAGTCGTTTACAATAAATTGCGATCAGTTTGCAAAAAACCTGGCTCGGATTGGCCTGAACTTTTGTCAATGCGGCCAGATCACACACAGAAATTTCAATTTTCCGGAGATTTGCCTGACAAGTGTACAAACGTAAGCACTGGTCGAAATTCGGAGACTTGGCAGACATGCCGATATACCACATCAAGGAGCCTGCAATGTTGATTGGAAGTGCTTAGAAAATTCAAGCATTTTCAAGGATGGAATAGAATTTCAGGACTTTGAAGGGCCTTTAAATGCATTTTTTAAATTCAAGGGTTTTCAAGGTTTTCAAGAACCTGTACGCACCCTCAAAAACAACCAGAATGATATCGTGAGAAACAGTATTAGTCCAGAGGAATTCAACATCGTACCAGTAACGACAGGGGAAGTAAGGAGAGCTCTAGAAGCAATGCAAAGAGGCAAAGCCACTGGTGAGGATAAGGTAACAACGAACCTCCTGACAGATGGTGGAGAAATTGTGTTTAAAAAACTGGCCACATTATATACGAAATGTCTTTTGACGGCAAGAGTACGAGAATTTCGGAAGAAAGAACACCAACATCATTTTAATACATAAGAAAGGAAATGCCAAGGACTTGAAAAATTACAGGCCGATCAACTTACTGTCCATTCTCTATAAACTACAAAAATACTAGCTAATAAAATTAAGGCGATATTACAGTTAATTTATCCAAAAGACCAATTCAACCAAAAGACCAAGCAGGATTTCGTACAGGCTACTCCACAGTAGACCATATTCATGCTATCAATCAGGTAATAGAGAAATGCGCAGAATACAACCAGGCACTAGCCTTCATAGAATAGGAGAAGTCGTTTGATTCAGTCGAGACATCAACAGTAATGCAGGCACTATGGAATCAGAGCATCGAAGAACCCTACAGTGAATCCACAGCCACCATAGTTCTCCATAAAAAAAGTGATGGAATCCAATAAAGAAGGGTGTCAAGCAGGAAGACACAACATCTCTAATGCTATTCACCGCATCTTTATAGGAGGTTTTCAGGACACTAGATTGGGAAGAGCTAAGAATTAAGAGTTAACAGAGAGTACCTTAGTAACCTGCAATTCGCCATGGCATTGCCTTGATAAGTAACTCAGGGGACGAATTCCAGCTCATGATTACAGAACTGGACACAGAAAGCAGAAAAATAGGTCTAAAAATAAATATGCAAAAAGTAATATGCAACAGTCTTGGCAGAAAACAGCACTTTGCGATAGGTGGAGAGACGCTGGTAGTTGTGAAAGAATATGTCTACTCAGCACAGGTAGTAAATGCTGTATGGGGCTTAGAGGCTGCTTGGCCCAGAACCCCGCAGGAAAGACACGGAGCCAGACCAGGGACCTTCTTTATAGACTGGAACTCGGGCCACAACTGCCCGCTGCCAGCCGCTGCCACGTGCCACGAGCACACCCGCGATAGTTGCCCTCCTCTCTTTTCTGTAATCGGCAAGCTTGCGGCCGCCGCCCCCATGCTGCCCCTTCCCATTTGGCGAAAGTGAAGAGAGGGACGTGATGCGGTAGCTGCTAGCCCTGGACATGCCGGCGCAGTCAGTCCACAACTCCATGCGAGACCTCAAAAGCTGCCAGCCTCTCGTGCTGTCCTTGCAGGTCCCTCCGCCTTTACGGCTGGCCTGCTGCTTGGTGCACGAGGTGGAAGAGCCAGAGTGTACACACTTGTCATCGTCCTTTAAACCTTTGGCTCCAGCACCATTCCTGTCTGGCTTTAGCTTTCTTTGCCTGACAAATTCTTCGACCTTCACTTAATGCTTGCTTGTTACCCTTGAAGTGCCTCTCGAGCTCGTCCCTGTGAATGAACGCTGACGTTCTGCAGATACCATTTTCTGTGGTCGCCGCGTTGAATTCGTTATCAGTGCCATCAGCCTGAGCACCGTCTTCCACGCTGTAGTCCTACGTATCACACACCGTCTCGTCATGCACTGCTGGGTTGCCCGGGACGTGTTGCTCATCTCTACTACCTTCAGCACACTCCTGGCACATGCCATCAGCATTCTCCATGTCATGAACGACCTCTGCATCATCGCAACTAGGCATTTCACGTCCTCGTCCCACTGGACGTCTGGCGGCGTTCAGTCGCGCTCCTTGTAATACTTGACTTCACCGTCGGCAGCTGCTTTCCAGTATTTAGCGGCTTTTCCCTCCACGCAGTCTTCTTCAGTGTCTGCACCAGCGACCTCCTCCTCGTGATCCTGAAACTCTACAGCCTCTTTCAGGTCCTGCAACTTGTCGATAGTTTCACCGTAGTGCTCACCAACCTCCTCATCGCAATGCTGAGACTCTTCGGCGGCCTCTTCTTCGCCTTCTTAAGACTCTTCGGCCTCTTTCTCAGCGATCTCCTCCTCCACCTCCATGAGCTCCTCACTGTTCGCGTTCTCCGCACCTTCAGAAACGCCTTATAGCCCACCTCTTTCACGTCCGAAGCGCCGTTCAACTTCTCTTCAGTTTCTTTTTGGGTCTCGGCAGCCATGGAGTCCTCCTCCTTGGCAACGCTGTTGCGGTACTCGTCTGCCGCCTAACCATCAATGTGCCGCACGTATTGATGACTTTTCCTATTCTTTTTCTTTCTTGCCCTCTTTTTCTTCTTTGCCTTCTGAATATCCCCGCTTGTGCCATTGACTAATCCTTCTGAATCTGAAACGTCGTCGCGTCGCGCGACATTTCTAAACATAGCGTCTGCCACTACGCTGACGGCGCCGACATCCTGCTTGCTTGTCCGGTCCTCACCGATGTCGTTCTTGCCGCCTCGGAGGTCATTGGTACCATTCACGAAGAGCTCTGCTACAGTCGCTGCAGACTGCACTGCGTTCACGTTCTCCGAGACCACGATAGCGCATGCGTCCTCGCCATTTTCATGTTCGTCCTGAGGTGCCTCCATGGCAAACGAGCCCACCGCGTCATGTGTGCCGCCTGCACTTCCCTTGGCGTCTCTCTCAGTCTCAGCAAGCATGGAGTTCTCCCCCTCAGCCACACTGTTCAGGTGCTTGTCATCCCCACTGTGGTTCTTGCTGGGCCTTGTCGAGCCACCTCAGTTGTCCCGAGACTTTTTAACGTCGTTCTGGGTAGTGGCACCCTCGTTGGCAGACGATGCGCTGCCACCTCGTAGCTTGTGTCGCGGTGCCATTCTATCGGACGAGCTTGCCACACCCTCCATGGCCTGCGCAGATAGCAGGATGTAGATATAAGAACAGAAGTACTGAGACGCTTCATTGACACGTCACAGCTCATCGGCAGGTTGTGACACGTAGAGCTGCTCCAGAAAGACGGCCTCTTCAACTTTCCGAGGACAGCAGGCTAGCTCTTCGAAAGAAGGGAAGGAGCAGCCCAGCAGGTGTCGCTGGAAACGAGGGTGGCATCACCGCATAACGTGGGAGACCTCAATGGTCTCAGGAGTCGTGGGGTCTGCTCGATAGAAGAGCTCCTGCATGGCCTGAACATAACCGCGCAGACCCTCCTCTGGATGTTGCGATCGGGCGTCAAGCTGAAGTCGGATACGGTAGGCGTAGGCGACCGGCAGAGACTCTTCCCGGAATGCCGCGATGAACTGGTTACAGAACTGGAAGGTAGGTAGTAAACGCCGCCATCCATCTGCGGTACCACACAGAGCAAGTGGGAGGACCCGTTGGAACACGCCAAACTCTGAGAAGCCGCTAACGGTCAAGTACACGAAAAGATTGTCAATGAAGTCTAGGACCGATTCCCTCGTGTCTTGACCGGAAATGTGGGCACAGTCAGCGGCGGCGTCTGGGCCACGGTCGCGGACTGCCAGGTACCTCGATACCCATGGCCCAGGGGCAGGGTTCTTCCCGGTGGGAGCCAAATGTAGGGGGCTTCGAGGCCGCTCGACTCAGAACCACGCAGGGATGACATGAAGCCAGACCAGGGACCTTGTTTATTGACTAGAACCCAGGCCGCAACTGTCCGCTTCCAGCCGGCTTGTGCCACGAGCACACTCGCGCTCATTGTCCTTCTCTTTTCTGTAATCGGCAGGCTCGCGACCGCCGCTCCCATAACACGGAGCCGAACCATGAGAGTGAAATAACTAGAATAGTAAGGATGGAGTGGATCACATTCGGCAAGCATTCTCAAATCATGAATGGTAATCTGCCACTATCCCTCAACAAGACGGTTTGTAACAGCTGCATCTTGCCAGTACTTACCTACGGAGCAGAAACCTGGAGGCTAACAAAGAGGGTTCAGTTTAAATGGAGGACAACGCAGCGAGCGATGGAAAGAAGAGAGCAGAGTAGGTCAGGAAACAAACCGGGGTTAAAGATATCGTAGTTCAAGTCAATAAGAAATAGACATGGGCTGGGCACGTAGCATGTTGGCAGGGGATAACTGCCGGTCATTAAGGGTAACTGACTGAATTCCCAGAGAAGGCATACACACGATAGGGAGACAGAAAGTTAGGTGGGCCGATAAGACTAAAAAGTTCACAGGTATAACGTGGCAACGGAAAGCACAGGGCCGGGTTGATTGACGGATCATGGGAAAGGCCTTTGCCCTGTAGTGGGCGTAGCCAGGCTGATGATGATGATGATGAAGAAGCTAGACAAGGTGTTCTCCAGCGTTTCATGTGCACCTTTTCCGTCAAACCTTGCATTGAAGTTCCCACTACAGCTAGCCAGTGTTACTGTCATGCTAGCTTCTCCTTAACATGACGAAAATTAAAAAAAAAATCTACTATGTAACGCCAATGCACTGGCGTTGGTTTACAGTGATAAATCCAACAAACGAAACTCTGACCTTCATTTTGTAGCATTAGAGAAAACTTCATCTGTGCATCATGAACCGTGTGCTTCTTCGAATGGCTCGAAATTCGGTGTGCCTATACTTGCAGGTTTCCTGGGTACACAACTAGTTGTCATTTAACTTTATTGTGCAGTGCATTGCTACAGAGGGTCACTTAGCTGAAAACACTACCATCTTTGACGATTCTTCAATGTGCCACATTACAAGACCATTGTCAGATAATTTTTTTTTGCTTCAAACAAATACAACCAAAAAGCGAACATTACGGGCCTAATGTTTGGTTCTTTTTATGGAAGAGTTGAAGGTGACTGATTGTTGTGAAATAATTCAACATTAGTTACAAACCAATTAACATTAATTACTGACTCCCATAAGACAACACATTCCTTCATTTTTTTTCTTGAAATGTCATATTGAGCATCTTGACATCATGCCACACGAATTTGATGCATTTTCAGACAATGAACTCTTGTTTGAAGGGGATATAGACTCCCTTGCACTATTTCAGTGGACTACTGGAGCTGCTTCCCCAACAGATATCTGGTTCGCTTCATGCCTGATGCGACAACATCCAACCTAACCCAGTGCAACAGCTAAAACCCCGGTGTCTCAAAGAAATACATAACTTTGCCAGGACTACAAGACGAGTCTACAGTTCAACCAACTTCATGACCACAATTACACTGTTTTCGGCATCTAGTTGGCATTCTTGTAGGAGCAATTGACTGTGCTTCTAGAAAAAAAAAAAAAACTTGGCTCTGAAAAAAACTTCGCGTTTACACCACAACAAAACAATTCATTTCAACAATGGAAACCATAATGGTCATGATAATGCAGTTGCCACCTTAAGTGCAAAATCATAGATTCTGAACAGGTGGTTTCTATGATAATTGGTCACTGCATCTAATAAAATTAAAACTTGCGCACATGGCACAGAGCCCAACTGCAACAATTACTCGGTGTCATGTCACGCAACATTCACAGAAATATCCCAATTCAGCAATGTACACTTAGCACTAGTTATACAAAAAACAAACAAACAAGAACTGCATATGACAATGCTTCACAATACAATAAAATCCTAGATCTGAAAAATGCATTCTAAAAAAAGAACAAAACTGGAACAAGCAGGTGGTACCGATTCCAAATCACCTGTGCAAGCACACATTATTGCACCCCATGATTGTAGATGCAATCTAAGAGAACTGCTGTTAATAAATGTGCCGCAAGTAAATTTTATGCAAAGGCTTAACTTGTCAGCTGTAGAACTAAAAACACAATCCCAACTAGACCAGCCCCTTCTGAAATGATTCATCTTTAGAACGCTACCTTACATTTAGTTGCAGAAACCAAACAAAAGTGTTCATCTCTAGCAATTAATTCTGTAAACAGTGATCAAGCCAGCTAAACTGATACACCCAGGGGCAGATCCAGTCACTTAATTTAGGGGGGGGGGGGGGGGAGGAGGGGGGTCACCTGAAGTAACCCTGGAGAGAGGGGTGTGGTGATGACTTTGCTTTAACTAGCAGAAGAACCCCTTCATGACGTAAATGCTGTTAGTGTCTGCTCTCAGTGGTCTCACTATTTTGTCTTAATTGTTGATAAAAGGTGGACTCAAGCTCTGAAGTGAGCTGACACAGACTTTGGAGTGGGGGGAAAAGGATCGCCCCTACCACCCCCCCTCTGGATCTGCCGCTGGACGCACCTCGTGAAATTTTGGAAATCGCTTGTCAACACAATAAACAATAGACATATACAGCCAAGCACCTTACAGCAACTAATGCATCCTGCAGTTGCAGGTGTGATCTAAGTGAGCTGCTGTTAATAAATGTGCCGTAAGTAAACTCCCTGCACAGGCTTAAAGGACCCCTGACACCGAATTTGGAAACTCCAGATGCTTGTGTCGTTTGACAGTCCTGTATGTTGGACGACTTCTGACCAATCATTAGTGACAAGGGCTGCCTATAAGATATTTAATTTGGTTGTAAAGTAAGGGTGCATGCTCGTACGAGTGTTCAAGTTAATAGACCTTTTTTGTAGTTTGACATAGACACGGGGCCCCACAATGACGTAAGCTAGTAATGCTGGTGTCGGAGGACATTTGTGGGGCACGCACAATACCCCGACCGGCAGCTGGCAAAGACTATTATTCGTCCCTCTTTCGCTCTGTTGTTGGGCTACTCTCAAGGTTGTTTTGGCTGCTTACGCCAGGAATGGTTTTTTGTTCTTTTTTTTTTAAAGGGGGACACGCAAAGCATTTACATCGTTTCATTCTTCACCCCACACGGGTCCCATATTTCAAAACAGTGAGTCCAGCGTCACTGAAGCTTGAGCGCACGTAGTCTCAGGTGCTGCCCCATTGTGGGGCATGCACTAGTTTCTTATCTTATTTCGGCAGGCGTTTCGAAATGATGCAAAATTGTTCTGAATTAACGATGCTAGTATAAATTATATGATGTGTTAGAGCAATACAATTCAATTTTCGCATTGCCACACTCAAAGCTGCAAACCCCTGTAAAAAAAGTCGCAAAGAATACTTTCGCTTGTCAGGGGTCCTTTAAATTGTCTGCTGTAGAACTGAGAATGCAATTATAACTAGATCGGTCCCTTCTGAAATAGTTCATTTTTATAACGATACCTTCCATTTAATTGCAAATACGAAACAAGGGTTTTCATTTCTTTCAATTAATTTCGATGGCAAAGTTCATTCAAAATTACAGGCTGGTTCCTGTGAACAGTCACCAAAGCAGCAAAATTGATGCACCTAAAGAAATTATGAAAATCGCTTGACAAAACATTAGAAATATATAACCAGGTATATCAACAATAATTGTCTGTGAATTAAAAAAAGGGACATAAAACCAAATGATAACTTTTGCTGGGCAAAATTTACAATAGCAATAGAAACTGTGTAAAACATAATTATTAACTCACTAATTAACTTTATAGTGAGTGTTGTAACCACAGAAATTATGAGGCTTGTGCAAATAGCGAATTTCAGGTTTGAAGCAAACAGCGATTTTGGTTGAATAACTTCAAATCGAACTCAAATAGCATATATCATATTATAAAGTAAAATGGGCATGTTTCACGTGACCCCACTAACCTGCACAATATTTTTTTTAACTGAAACAAGGCCAGTGCAAATGCCATTATATTAGGTTGAAAGAAAGTAGGAAACACTTTGAATACAGTCGATCCTGGATATATCAAACACGAAGGGGATAAGAAAAAGTTCGATACATCAAAGAATTCAAAATACAAAATATGCATATTTAAGGCCTAAATTAAAGCATTTTAGGCCTCGATAATCGTTTCAAGGGCTGACATAACGATTGGCTCAGAGTATAATGAAGAACAAGGTGTGAACTACAAGTTATTGCACTTTATTTCGCATGAAAATAGTCCGCAAACTTGTCTTGCTTCTTGCACGCTGTCAAGTTTCAGCTTTTCAAATAAGCAAGTTCAGCTAAGTCCTCCTCAACAGCATTGATTGACGCAGATCACCGATGTAAGGTCTGTGGCACAGCAAAAGGTTGGTTAGCGGTGGCAGCGATGGCACATTCATAACCGCACGAATACACTTCTGCGGCACTAGACGGCAGCCATGATGTCACCCTCGATGCAGTCAGAAACAGCTACATCGTCATTTGCACCGATAAGTTGCACACTATCAAAGATGGTGCCCGGAAACGCTGATAGGTTGCAGAATTCCCCGAGGCACCGTATGCCAGTGGTCATGACGCACCCAAAGCCATCACCTGGCTCTCAAGGAAAGTTTACGGCGGTGCTTTCTTTATGTCACTCCAAGCACCAGTCATGATTTTCATCACTGTGTACGGGTCAATATTCAGTTCAGCTCCCGAATGAGAATTTTTCAGGAACGAGGCGAGAAGTACTTTTTTTTTTTTGGGCAAACGCTTTCATCACGTGTGAGAGGCGAGACGAGAAGTACGCAAGTCCAGAAGGCGCTAAAGACAACGTAGAGTTCCCGCTCTACGTTGTCTTTAGCGCCTTCTGGACTTGCGTACTTCTCGCAAGGCGCTGGTTCCCGCTATCGATGTCACTTGAGCCTTTGTAGCTTACAGCCGCTACTTTCAGCTGCTTTGATGCGAAAAGCTAGAAAAAGCGTAGCCTTCGAGACGTGCGTTTTAAAACCGAAAACATCAAAAATATGTCAGAGTTGCACATTTCATATGGGGTGCCAGGTATTCACACGGTGCTTATTCTGAAATTCGCACTTTTTAAGTATGATTCTGTATGGAATAGACGAATGCTAATGTTTATATATTAAGTAGCATGTTCCTTACGTCATCTGTATTGGGAAATGATTTGAACTCCAACCAAAACGTTTTGAAAAAACACGACATTTAGGAACTGACTTGGTTCCTTCCTCAGATGAAACTTTGGGAAAACTTTTTAAGGGAAAAACTTGCGGTTAGAGTTTAAATCATTTCCCAGTTTTCATGCTTAACCAGACAGACATTTGTTGAATGTTTACATTCAAGTGATCTGTATTGATCAAGAAGAAAGAAACGAAGACAGCTGTGCGTCATGAAGTATTTTGTTCTCCGCATATGTAATCGCCAAAAAAAAAAAAAGCAGTGCGTCATGAAGTATTTTGTTCTCGCATATGTAATCGCTGAAAAAAAAATGTTTTGTGCAAGTGATACCATTAGCTCAAGTGGCTCTCTCATTACGGTAGCCACTTTGAAAGTGACACCAGCGACCTGCCAATACATTAGCAAAACCAGCTGCTCAAAACAAAAAATATGTATATGCAATGAATCTTTTCATAAACTGAATTGGATATGTGGTCGATATTTCAGTTGTCCACTATTGCTGACACAATCATGCTAAAGATTGCGTACTGTAACACCGCACCCGTCGGGGTTCACAGCGGGAGCAGTTTTTGGCGCCTTTCACTGAACAGTCATTTACGAGGAGAAAATTAACAGCGCAAACCTTGGTAATTACCCGGGCAACTGACGCGTTCATGCATATTAGCAGTTGACTGAGCGAAAACAGCGTTCTTGACTAAGTAAGAAGTGCGTTTCACCCGCTTGGGTTTACAAATGTGAAACACCCGCACGTGACCGTTGTGGCAGAGATTCCTGCTAACCGTTGATGCCTTCGCGTCCTGTAACAAAATAATGTGAATGTCTCCAGAAAATTCTGATGTCTCCAAAAGAAAAGAACAATGATGATGACTGTGTACACCATAATTAAGAAAATAGTCTCTTGCCTTTGATTTCAATACCCAATCGAACAGTCCTTGCTTGGCAGTGCCCTTCTTAAAAAAAAAAAAAAACACAGCATATGCACGGGGTGAATGATGATGAGCGGGCAAAGCTCCTGAGGGGAAATCATCGGTAAAACCGTGACTCTTCAGTGAAAGTTCGCCCACTACATCATCAAGAAAGACGTGAGAAACACTGTGCGTGTATATATACTCGCGCAGCAGCACGGCGATGGCATTGGTGCGAGCCTGGTCGTTCTTGATGGAACATATTGTGACTAGACTGTTTGAGAACCACAATCTGTCGCACACACTGCAACTGTGTCCGAACGTAACGTCTAGAAAGTCTTGCTTAAACCCCATGTCGGCACCTTGGGGCTGAGCTCGCCTGATGCGTTTTGCAGACGCCTCACGAGCTCTCACTGCATGGGGGTCTGCCTGCCGATACGCGCGTTTTCTCGCAGCTTCCCGTTCTCTGACGTTTTGGAAATCCTCTTCACGCTGCAGCCGTGCCGCTTCGCGTACGGCGGGGTCCTCGCGCCCTTGCCGTGACACTTGGGCCTCCCGTTCTCGAACGCTGGGGATCTTGGCGGCGACGGCGCGCAGCCAGACGACACGCTTTGGCCTCCCGCTCTCGTACGGCAGAATCTTGGCAGCGGCGTCGCGCAGCTTCACGGAGCGCTTCTGCCTCGCGGGCTCGCAGATCGGGAATCTGTCTGCGAGCACGCACTACCGCCGCCTTGCGAGCTCGCCGCTCTGCGGCCTTATTCATCAGGCAACTCCAAGCGCGCGATAACAGCGAAAGAATTCTATTACAAACTAGAGGTGGCCTTATCCATCGGGCAGGGCAACTTCGAGCGCGCGCACCTACAGCGAATGGATTCTATAACAAACTAGAGGTGGCTACATACATACGCCGAGCATGGACAGACCCACGCCTTAAGGAGCTTCGCCCCTAAAAAAAACTGTCTGTTCAAACACAGCTGCTCATTCCATTCCTTTGCCATAAATAACATTTTATTGTTAAAAAGAAAAAAAACAAATAAAAATAACACTATGACGTTTGATTTGCAAGCGGGCTTGAACAGCTGGCAGATTTTCTTTACAACGAAACTTGCAGAAGAGCACAGGCATGATTGCACTAATATTTTCCTTCATGGCTGCACCTACAAGTATATCAATGCTTGCCGTAGCTTTTGATTAAAGCAATAAATGATCTCCTATTTAAAATACCATTTCACAAATGACATCATAAAACTTGAATGTTCATGTCGAAGTGCACGTGTTGGATGAGCTTGCAAAACCGAAATCGCCTGAAAATAAACTTCTTGCAAGAGCTCCGCCCCCATAGCTTTCGCTCCACTTCCACAAAAAGTTGTGGCGAAGTCTAATATACTCGCCTGAAAATGAACTTCTTGCAAGAGCTCCGCCCACATAGCTTTCGCTCCACTTCCACAAAAAGTTGTGGCGAAGTATAATATACTCGCCTGAAAATTTACAGCACTTTAAATTCAAAGTGAAGCTAATTAGAATACAGTAATACCAATTCAAATATATATGTAAGCCTACAAATTATCTTAGCACATATGAAAAGCATAACTTTACAGAACGATGAACAGAAAATGCATGGCAAAATAAATTGCCTTCCATTGCACCTTTGGAACTGTTTTATGCTTTCTGTACAAATAGTAGACTTAAAGACCACATATGAATGCAGCCTAAATATACTGAGTAAAACCAGATTACTAAAGGTGAGTGAATAATTAAAGTTTTGAATATTTTTCAAATAGTGTTTACTATTCGATTTGATTTGCATTGAAATTTTTACCATTCAAACTTCCCAGAGACAAATGCAGTCAACGTCTGATGGTAAATGGCCTCTTCAAATTTTTCAGTATGGTTCACTTTATTACATTCTCGTATTGCGGCAAAGCTGCCTTTCAAAATCCGGTATGGTCGAACTTTTAAAAGTCGATTACGGCTGTCTGATTAAAAGTGGTCCCTTCAGAGTTTTAATTGCTTCATTTTCTTACATTCCCGAATTGCTTCATTTTTTTACATTCCCGTATTGTGGCAAAGCTACATTTCAGGCTCTGCTACAGTAGCAAATGCATTGCCTAAGAAAAACCCTGTATTCAACATGGAGACTGTAGATGTGGCAGAGGTTGGGGCTCAATGCTGTTTTGAACCTGAAATTCGAGCAAGTAAATAAAAATTACACCATCTACCACTAAAGGAAACCATGCTTAGATGCGAAGCAGTGGGCACTAATGCTTAATCTGGCAGCAGCATTGGCGCTGGCACTCATCGCTGCATTGTGTAGAAAAGAAACTTTGGGAGGCGCAAAGCACGCAGTGATGGAGGTGTTTCTTACTGAAACATGCCAATCGCTGCTAATGGGCAATGAGAGGCAAAAGATTTCGATTGGTTACAGAGACCTGCAGTCTACTTTTAGTTGATGTGCATGGTGAGAATTTTTATTGTTCAATAACGTACAGGAAAAATCTCTCACTAGAACTACCTTGGAGGTCAAGATCCGGTGCCTATATACAGTGTAGACAACTTATAACGTAACCACTTATAGTGCAAAACCGCTTACAATGCCGTATTTTTCTACTTCCATTTAACGTCCCATAGAATCCCATGTATACACATACCACTTATTGAACAGTCCCCCAAGATGAACGACCGGTTACAATGCGGTTGCCGGAAATTGTTCGTGACAAACGCGGCAGCCAGTAGCACTGAGTGCGCCGCTGAGGAGCGAACGTTATGGAAGAGGAGGGGACACGGAGTAAACGAAGGGTGGAGAGAAGAAAATAAAATGAAAAAAAAAAAAAGACCGCCGGACGCTGCGCGGGCTCGCCGAGTAAGGGACGAGGACAGTTGCCTCGGTGACCGATAAGCCTTTGCACCGATGCCCATGCGGCTACAGCGTACTACGTCGCTAGCGTGGCTTCAGTCGTGCGCCGCTCAACGTGGCACTTGCAATCTCGTCCTTATCAACTACATGCGCATAACAGTTTTCTGTCGGACAGTTTTCTGTCGGGGTAGAAGTCGTCGTTATCGCGCATGCAACAAATATCGCGTTTGCTTCCTCGTCCATAAATTGAAAACCTTTCACGGTTTTGACGCGCGCTCTCACTTTTGTTTCCAGTGTGCTGTCGTACGTAAGTTTGGCAAGTTGTCGACCATCGTTGCTGATCTCCCGGCTGCGAACGCGAACTTTGTATCACGCACGCGGTTCTTGGTTCACTGTTAGTGCGATATTTTTGACGCCGAATACTCCTGTTTGGGACAAGCTTTTTGCGACAACATACCAAACGGCAGGCTAGGCTTAATCGGTGTTGGTTGCGCTTCAATCGGCAGCGGTCGTGGTTTGGTACCGAGTCAACGAAACTATTTGCGGTGGCCGCACGTGACGGGAAGGGATACATATCGTTAAACGAAAATGAGGGCAGCACGTGTAGCACTCAAATAGTAATTCCTGATTCAATTGTGATGTCTTAAATAGGGTGCAGGCCCGTGAAATTGAATGACTGGAGTCTTTCAACGAGTCAAATTCCGGACGTGATTCGACATAGTTTGTGTGTAACACGCATAATCGAGGCGGTCTGGTAGTCAGCGAATTTCCGTGATGGTGCTTTCAATTGTTAGACCCCCCCCCCCCCCGCCCTTTCGCGTTCATTTCATCAGCAACGCGTGTCTTTGGACGTTAAATGCTTTTACCATACAGAAATTTAAATGTTAGCAAGCACGCATCGCATGTTTCGATTCTTGGACACGCGAACCTGCATGCTCAACACGTTTTGCACAAGTGCGGCCTTTGAAAAAGGCTGTTTTGGTTATAGTGCGGTACCGCTTATAGTGCAGATATTCGGGACTCCCGTGCCTTACAATCAAAGCGGTCTGTACTGTATACAGTTGACTCTCAGTAAATGAAAATTTGTTAAACAGAACTACTGCTTCAACAGAACTATTGCCTTTGCAATGCTTCGTTTCGGGCTTGTATTCTGCACCCATATTCGCCTCTCAGTAAACGGAACTCCTGTTAAATGCAACATATTTTCCCGGTCCCTTCGGGTTCCGTTAACTGAAAGTCTACTGTATATGGGTTAGCCAGTGAACGCTTATGCAGCGCGAGCAGTCAATCGTTTAGTGACAAAGCTCCGTATGGTCTAGGGCAGTCCATCTTTCTGGCATAGCCAACACAGCATATCCACAGACAGACAGGCGGACGAATGCTTCGCCTCACTCATCATCGTTCACTCTGAAGATATGCTGTGATTTTTTTCAGTCAAGAAACTTGTAGGCAAGAAGCGATGCAGGCAGACGCCGTGGGCATCGCGAGGCGAGGGGAAGCGTAGGAAAAGAGAGGGGGAGAGCATGGGAGAGGGAGGGGATGTCCATGCGGAATGGAGCACAGATGCCACCACATCAAGCTTGCTCATGAGATGGTTTGCATCTAAAAACTTGGACGCCCAAAACTTTTAGCATCAAAAGTTTCAAAAATCTATGTATGTTGACGTCCATGAGGCAGATTTGACACTCCTAACTCGAAGAGAGCACTACCTTGTCTGCCACATCAGTCGGGCTTCGGCAGAAGTCGAAAGACTTCTACCGAAGACTGTGTTCTTCGTGTCCTTCTTGTCTCTGTGTCGTCGTTTTGTTCTCGTGCTATAACTATCGGCGAAAAAGGAGAAGAGGCCGAGGAAACAGCACTTTTGCCTTTCATGTGTAAAGTGTTTTGGGTCCTGACATGCGGGCATAGTGTTTAAAAAAAAAAAAAAAACGATTGCCAAGGACACCAAAATGAGAATGCGAAAAGACTTGGCGATTTTGTTACAATATTCGCATTCCCTTCCTTGTTTGTAAGCACACAATGGCATGCAAGCCTGAAAAGCATGGCCTAAGAGATGTGCAACCACGCGACGTATGTTCAGTGTTTTCGGTTTTACAACGTATGCCTCTGAGGCTACGCTTTTTGTAGCTTTTCGCATCAAAGCAGCGGCTGCTAGCTACAAAGCGACAAGTGAAATCCCAACATGTCGACGGTGGCAACGCGGATTTGCATTTTGCGTCTTGTGAACTTGAGTACTTCAAGCCTCGCTCCTGATAAATCCTCATTTGGGATTTGAACAGAACGTTGAGCAGCACGTAGCGATAAAAATCATGACTAGAGCTTGCAGCGATGTCAAGTAAAACACCGTCGTAGACTTTTCTTGCAGGGCAAGTGGCGACTTAGGGTGCATCATGACCACTGACAACGGTGTACAATCCCTCAGTAAATTCTGCGACTTATCAGCGTTTCCGGGCATGATCTCAGACAGTGAGAGACTTCATCAGTGCAAATGACGAAGCTGTTTCTGACTGCACCGATGCTGAGATCCTGGCTGCCATTGCCACGTTAGTGTAACCCATGCAATTATGGATACATCACCACTTTTGCTACCATCCCTAACCAGCCTTTCGCTGCGCTACAAAGCTTGCATGGACGTTTTGCGTCAATCAAGACTCTTGTGGCCAAAAGAGCTGAATTGGCTCACTTGAAGAGCTTCAGTCATATTGGGGATGACTGAAACTTGACGGCATACAAGAAGCAAGACAAAGTAATGGACTATTTTCATGCAAAATAAAGTGGAATAAATTGCAGTTCACATTTTAATCTTCATTATACTCTGAGCGAATCGTTATGTTAGCCTTTTTAATGATTTCCGAGGCCTGAGATGCTTTAGTTTAGGCCTTATACACGCATACTTTGCATTTCAAATGATCAATATATCAGACTATTTCGCAATCCCCTTCTAGTTCGATATATCCGGGATCGACTGCATATCTCATAAGAATATGCTTAGGAATTATCTCCAACTTTTCTTTTCCTGCAGTTTTGCTATGAACTATTTCGAAAAGATTCCAGAAATATTCTTTCCTTTTCCTGCAGTTTTGCTATGAACTATTTCGAAAAGATTCCAGAAATATTCTAGAAATGCTAAAAAAATATTCCATTTGATTTGCACTCACACTTAAATATTTGAATTTGCTTCACATAAAAAATATTGCTATTTGTACAACTCTACTACTTAGTGAAAATAAGCCAAACATCGCACTGTTAGTTATCAAAGATTTTTTGTCAGCAATAGCTTTGTTGTCAAATCCCCTGCCATTATAATAATACATTCATTAGTGGAACAGCCTGCCAAACAACAGTTAGCTGGAATGAACTTTTTGGTGTAGCCCCCATTGTTAACAGACTGCATTCTTTTAACCAGAATGCACAAGCCATTTGTCTCTAGAAAGCAAATTGCAGAGGAAAGCCCAAAGTATTAGTCGTTGGTAACTGACTCCTGAGAAGATTCGAAACACAAATGACAAGCAGGCCCGCCATAAATAATAACAAATGGCACCTACGCACGCACGCATCATGATGGTGCTTCTGTGTCCCAGCTGTTCTGCGAGTTCACTCTACATATGCATGTATGCCCACACCACGGTACTGCAATGTCACGTACCCCCCCCCCCCCCTTTTCAAATGCGAATGCATTTCTTAGTTGGAGCATGTCCGGCGTCTGTCAGCGTCCGCACGCCGGCAGGTCTTACCTCTGCACTCTCACTTCCTTTCCCATAGCAACAGCTGCGGGCACGCGCGCTTAACCTGCGCGCTAGCAACTGGAGCAGGAGGTGCGGGAGGAGTAGCAGAGAGTGAGTGTAGAGGAGCGTTCTCTAGAATGTGGTGTGAGGGCACTCGCACTGCGGTAGCTCAACAGAGCTCCCGCGTGTGTGCAGAGAGTGTAGGTGAGGATAGGTGCAGTGCTTCGTTGCTCCTTCTCTCACCGTTCGCTTTCTTTCCTCCCTGCGCTTCGCTCTCCCGTTCGATCGCTCGTACATAGATATATAAATGGAGTGAAGCCAGCCTTGCTCTCAACTGTTTGCTGGCTGATGAATGTGTGAATGGTTACAGTACAAATCCTCGTCTCGTCATTAATTTACGCCATTAAAATTACTACGCCATGTATTCTTGACACAAGAAATGCATTCGCATTTCCTCACGACTTTTTTCTTTCTTTCACAATTTTTTTTTCCCTGCATACGTGTGTGTCAACTTTTGAACCAAAATTATCCTGCAGCTATTCTCCTTGAAGGAAATATGTCAGCAGTGTGTTGGTGAGCAATACCTGTTTCCCATTTTGAGATCCTGGGGCAATGATTTGGAGAAAGCATCTGATGTGTACGGTATGGCTGTCTTCTGCCGCTCCAGGATCAGCAAACCGTATGAGTCTAGTCTGTGGTGAATAAATGATGTTAGGCTCCCACAGGACTCAGTACCAGTCTCGTTCTTGCTTGAATACCATTGCCCTGCGCTGAATCAATAAGAGCATTCACCAGTTAAAACAGACAAAGGCACTTACTCTTCATTTTGCAGAAACAATATCGTGCCTAATTAAAAATTGTTCAGCCAACACCCAACTCCTCAATGCAGCTAAGACAAGCAATACTTCAATGTGCTAACTGAAAAAACACGTGAAAATGTTTTGAGTGTTCCTACCCATACTACAACCGTAACACTAGAATTATACAGGGGGCAAGAAGAAGCCCTGGCTGCCACATTGCAACCACCAAAGATGATCTCCTCTCAATAAAATCGTTTGCAAGGACACGTTGCTGGTTTGGAATTGATATCCCGGAGCAGTACACCATGACACAGTGATGCTACAGAGGACTTCTCATTTCGAGCAATTTTCGGAGCAGCAAAATTTTCATTTTGTAGCTTTTGGAGCACCAAAACTTTCTATTATGTAGGAAATTTTGCATCTGCAAGCCCTGTGAAGCAGCTAATTTCACATCTTGGAGAACATTAGAGAAGCAAGTTACATTCACATTCAACACTATTTCACAGACATGCATTATTACTATGGGGCTCCAATGAAAAAAATTTCAATACATTGCAAATGTCATGGAGCCAACCATTTTAGAAGCACTCCTTATTTCACTCGATAATGAAAAAAATATAAAGACAATGAGCAGTTTAGCATTCTGAAACAACCTGTTTAACAATTTTTTTTTCTTTGAGAACACGATAGAGAATACTGGATCAATAAAATACCATTCTAAATACATCTTTCTGATAATCAGCAGACATGATAGGCAAACGCTGCGATGTACAGCAATGTCTCGGTGCTAAAAACTCCCACTGTCCTTTATGCATTCCCCTAAGAGATAGAGAAGTTTTTTGGGGGCGAAGCTCCTCTTAGTTTAACCTTGTCATGTGTCACACGTAACCGAGAGAAGAAGAGACGAGAAATATTTGCAGGCAGTATCTGCCGAACAGTATAATGACAGCACTGTCTTATAGAAGTACATACAAACTGCAGTTTAGTGAGGATATTCCAGATGCCACTGTAACACTACTCTAGGATTGGCTGCTGCATGGGCTGTGCCTGGGTACGCGGAGAACGACTGCCTTTCTCAATCTTCTGGATAGTCGCCGTACATGGCGGATCGTTGGTGGGGCACAGACGAAGCAGAGCGGCGGGTGGGCAGAAAACCCTTGCGTTCGGCTTTCTTAGCTTGCGTCTCGTCGATGTTACCCGCAGGACCGTCTGCATTCTCGAACGCGATTGGATTCACAGGCGCATGCACGGTGGGACGAATATACAGACGGATCAACGAACGGACGCTTCGCCCCACTCATCATTATTCACGAGGTGAATATGCTGCGATTTTTTTCATTCATGGTTACATTGCTTGGAGTAACACGACGTTGCTTAGCTAACACAGAAAGGCGAATCTCCACTGAAACTCCTTTCCCTTCTAAAGTCAATGGAACAAAGAAAGTACCGCGTCCGCCTGCCCCGCCACCATAAATGGTCCAGCACGCCTGGATTTTAAGCAGAGTAATGCTTGTTTTACAATTTGCATGCCGTATGAAGCCCACCAATGTTTTTTGGCTCACTCAGAAATGTGGCCGCTCGCTCCCATGTCGTTACTTCCTTATTTCACTCGTGAGCACGCAGCGGGCACCACTTCACAGTGCAATAAGGCTGGAGAAGTTGTTAGTACCTCTTAATAATAAAAAAAAGATGTGCAGATATAATGACCACTTCAATATAAATGCATTTGACTCCAGGAAGTGGAGTGGCTCTCGTGTTGTCTGCGATGGTAGGAGCAGTCTAATATGCCTGTTAAGATAGCGTGTCATCTTGATCAAGGCTTGCAGTCACTCCCCTAGTAACCCAATGAAGCCGGCTGTGGTGTTTAATCTTCGCTCGAGCTGTGCCCATCTGCAGTGTTCACAAGTTTTTTTTCACAAAGAGAAGACTGGTCACGTGGTCGTGACAATGAAGAAGGCTGCAACAAGACTGGGAAATGTGGAACACTTGATAGTTGACTCTGAATAAACGAAACTCTCTTAAACGAAATTGCTGCTTAAGTGGAACACTGCCTCTAATATGATTGGTTTTGTGCTTGAATTTTACACACCTATTTATCTGTTGATGAATGAAACTCCTGTTCAATGAAACTCAATTTCCTGGCCCCTTCAGGTTTTGTTTGACAGGTGTCTACTATTTGGGCAAACTTGTGCCTAGAAAATGAAAGGGGTCAATGCGCAAGTCATCAGTTGTCGAGTGAACTGATCATCTTTTATAAAGCAGTTAAACCTTACAGCGTTATCGCTTGTGCTCATGTAAGCTCTTGCACTAATGTGCACATAATCTTCTTAGCAGAACGATTTAAAGCTTCTTAAACATTGCAGCCCAGTCTGCTCAGAGTGTTGCCACTGATTTCTGTGGCTGGATCTTGAATAACGTATTTTCCCGCATATAACCCATGCACGCCTAACATTGAACTCCCCGAAAAAAAAAAAAAAAATACTCGTGTAGAACCTGCATGCTTAGCTTAAAAAAATTGTTTTGGGAAATCACAACTTCACAACACATCACAATTCTTTTACAAATAAACTTTATTTTGAAGCGATCACCGCAACGTTGATGGCGCCGATTCCTGTTCCTTCAATCACTCGCCGCAGTCGCTGCTGTCATCTGAGGTTTCGTCGTAGCTCTTGAAGATGATATCGTCTTCGTTACCATCCAAGCAATTGCTGATGGCGCACTTTTTGAAGCTATTGCGCACCATGTCGGCCGGGATAGCCCTTCACGCATTCACGATCCACTGGCACAGCAGCGTAATGTCTGGCCTCCGTACGCGCCTAGTCGGTGTCAGAGCGTAACGGCTGTCGGCTATTCACTTGGCATACAGCTGCTTCACGTGCACCTTGAACGGCTTATTGAGGCACACGACCAGTGGCTGTAGCATGGAAGCCATGCCACCGGGTGTAATCACGAGGTCGGTGAGTGGTCAGCGAGGTGCGCCTTCATTGCGTCAATGCAGTGGCTTCGAAACGAGCCCAACACCAGCATCACCCCTGTGCCAACACGGCAACCGGCCTCTTCTCCCAGATCGTGCAAAGCCAGTCACAGATGTGATCACCATTCATTCATGCGTTATCTTCGGTTCACACAACAATCCCTGGTGGCAATGGAGTGCTGGGTGGCGTTCTGCATTTGAAGATTACGTACGGGCACAGCTTGGTACCGTCCACCTAAATGCACAACATTACTGTGCAGCATAGTTTGTGTTTCCGCCCGTCAGTACGCTTACAGATTTCGTGCCCTTTTTCTGCAGAGTGGTGTCTATAGGCATCTCGAGGTACACAGGCATTTGATTATCATTTTCCACATGGGAGAGCAAAGAGTAGTGCTCCTTCCGCAGCCTTTCATGGTGCCTCATCAGACAAAGTTGACAAAAGGTGCAAACTGGCCACACCTGACTCGGAGAAAGACGCTGCCAAATCGCTGTTGTTAGGCTGCTGACCAAATCAAACAAGGCACGCAAAAAGTGAATAAACACACTATGGCGGGGATCTGTCTATGGCCTGGGTTGGTTTTTATTGGCTTTGCGCCAGACGATGCTGATGGGGATGCGGACTGCATGGGAGGCCATGCATTTCCGTGAAGCCGACCTCTGCTTCCAGATTATTCGCAGATATCCCCCACCCCACTTTTTAGGCGTTTTTTTTTTTTTTTTTTCAATTTTTGGTGCAGGTTATATGCGAGAAAATACAGTACATCAAAATAAAGCAATAAATGCGCACAGCAATAAGACGCATTGGGCAATGTTATCGATTTGGACAATACAGAACCTGACAGCGATGGCAAAAATTTGCCTTGGGGGCAAAAAAATTACCTGTTGGGATGAAGGAGAGTAGTGAAGGACATTAGGAATACAGTCCATGACTTGGTATTTGGTGAACTCGTCAGGCATATCACCAGAAGCATCATTAGGATCATCGGGTGGCTTGACAGGCCAGAAGCACATCCAAGTTGGCATGAAGGAAAGGACAAATAAGCTTAGCCATAAACTGCAGCCGGGCAGCACGAAAACAATGCTTTGGAAGTTATCTCATAGTGTCTACAAATCTGCTTTGCTCATATTCCCCGACTTTTCCAGGTTTTTCAGAATGATTCTAAGCAAGCTCTATGACCACTAAGCCTTCTTGGAAAACACTGCACACAGAAACCCCACAAACACATAGAAAAAAAAAAGAAGAGCAATCAGTAAACTACAAACCATGCCACTTTATTACATTCTTTTAGCTGAAAAAACACATTACAATAATAAAATAAATCAATGTGCATCTAAATGCAGAAAAACTGGTTTATTGACACAGGCAATGGTTTTACTGTTTCAGAGAATCAATTTATTGCTGCAGCAGACACCCTAATCAGACTGTGTTCTTTGCAAGAGTGGAAGCTTGGGCTAGTTGGTGTGAAGACATACTGGCAAATTTTTTCAGCGTGCGAACATAGGAAAATAGGACAGCACTCTTTCTGTCTACTCTGTCCTTTTTTCCTATGTTCATGCGCTGAAAAAACTTGCCAGTATGAGTGTGTTTGTTTAGTTTTTGTTCGTGTGATTCAAGAACTTTCACAAGAGCCCCAGTTTTTTTCTTTCTTTCAACATCCGGCAAGTCCCCTTACCATTAATTTTTTTTCTTCTCCAAGTCTTCTATCAGACGTTTGCACTTCACACCACACTGACCTTGTTTGTAACATCACCTTCTCCAATACCAACTCCTGTGTACACCAACCTTTTTGCTACAAGTAACTCCTCTTTTGAGTTATCCACAAGACAATCCCTGCTTACTGAAAATCTCCATTCCATAGAAGAATTTCCATGTGAAAGGCAAAGTGAAAGGCAAAGTGCCATTTTCATCACAGCTTTAGTTCTTTATCAGAACCTTAACAGAGTTCAACCCACAGCACCACTAAGGGCTCTTTTGTTCAATCAAACTTTCACAAATCTGCTTCTGCAGTGCTTGAATGACTGACCGTTCCGTCGTTTAGATGAACTTCTTGGACGAGTTGGTGCATCTTAACAAAAATAAAAACCCCATGCAAACTGACAGTCACCAGACATGCACACGAGTGCAATTTATGCAGGGTTCATACAGAATATTTATCTAAAAATTTATAAAGAGTTTTCAAGGATTCCAAGGATAAAAAACTGCAATATTCAAGGAGTGTCAGAAAAATTTTATTTGCTTACAAGACTTATGGAAGCATCGCAGTTTTCGCGTGGATTTCTTTTTCCACAAAAGCTATCTCCAGCTCTTTTTCTTTAGCAGTTCGACGAAAGCTGTTTGCCTCGATTAAGTAGGTAAGGTCGTTTTTCGCTTCAACTTCTTCCGAAAGACGGTCTGCAGATTGATTGATTGATTTCTGGGGTTTAACATCCCAAAACCACCATTTGATTATTGTTGAATTCCAATGGCGGAGTCGGAGCAAGTTTTTCTGCTCCTTTAAGAGCAAGTGTGTTCCAATGACAGAGTGAGAGCGAGGGTCGAAAGTTCCAATGAGAGAGCCAAAGGGGATTCAGAGCGGGAGTCCCTCCGTGGAGCAGGAAAAACTGCTCCACCGAAATCGGTAGAGTGGACCGGAACTCAGCGTGACGCATTTCCTTTAACATGTTTGCCTGCTTGGGGGCGCGGCTGGCACGGCGCGAGTTGTGTTGATAATGGCGGACGGCATAAACGGCTCGGCTACCTCGGCAAAGCGTGCGGCAATGCTTCTGCTACTCGATAGCGACCGCAGACGTCATGGACAATAGCTGTTGAACGCTTGCTGTGATATCCATTCCACACAGGTGAATAGCGCTGAACAAGCAAACAAACGATGCGGCGATGCTGGTAAATCATGTGGGAAACAGACAGCGGAAAAGACCACGTGCAAGGTATCCTGGGTAACGCGGCAGCTTCCGCCTTGCTCCAGCAGGGCGGGTTGTGTTCCGATGGCGGATTTGGAGGATTTGCTCTACGCCAGAGTCGAGTGCTCGCTCGCGAAGTCGGTAAGCTGCACCGACTCCGCCATTGGAATTTACGCCAGAGTCGAGTGCTCGCTCGCGAAGTCGGTAGGCTGCACCGACTCCGCCATTGGAATTCAACATATGAGAGACGCCGTAATGGAGGGCTCCGGAAATTTTGACCACCTGGGGTTCTTTAACGTGCACCCAAATATGAGTACACGGGCCTACAACAGATGGTCTGCAGATTCCAGCAGGCACTAGATAGTTTTTTTTTTTTTTTAAGCTTTGACTTCCTTCCGAAATCTTATCAAGCTCTTGCTTGAGCTCTTTTCTATTTGAAGCTGCCTACTGTGACAGTGCTTGTTTCTTTTGTTCGTCTAGGTATGCAGCGCACCCAAGCCGGGTTCGGCGCATTGAGGCCTTCAACTCTTTTGAAATCAGAACGTTCAGCAAGCCACCATGGCTTTTCACAGTTTCGCAGATAACTCGTTTATAAATATATGACAGCTCTGCGCAATTCTTGACCACAACCTGCTTGATGCTGAAGTCTCTTTCCACTGAGGCCTGCCTATGGCTTAGAAGAAGAAGCAGTTTCGCCACAGCGCACAACTGCGAGAATAAAGCATTGTGCTTCAGCAGCCGCACAAAAAACTGTCAAGACGTTCATAATCTTTTTCACAGTTTTGTAGTTCATGTCATTTTTGTTGACAAAAGTGAATGTACTGTGTGCACACAATGTAGCCTTTGTGCTCAGAGAGAAGCCCGTTGTCGACAGTTAAGCACAATTTTTAGCTTCCCAAGGCACGTGTCTGTCTTGTACATCTCTGTGGGGTCTAAAGATGAACGACAGGATACCTCAGAGGTTCAGGATAACGTTCAAGAGGAACTTCCAGCACTCATACCTATACTCGAAAATATACTTGGCGCTCGTTTTGCAGCATTTCAAAATCTTTTTAGCTGCACGCCCAACATCCGCCTTTTCAAGTTCTGTGTGAACGGCAACATTTTCAACATCGATTCGCAGCAGCTTCATGATGCTGGTGGCTTCGGTCATTACAGAGCACTTTACGAACCTCCTCAGAACACTTTCAAGTTTTTTTGCCAGCAAAAACGTCTTGGGAGAATCACTCTCAAAAACAGTCAGGAAAGGCTGCACTACCATGGCAACATTTAGCGAAAAGTTGTGGGGGAGCACGTGCGCCCAGCCACCCTAGCCCTTCTATGGAAGCCCGACAGCCCCGTTGCGGGTACATGACTGTCCCTTCAGTCAATAAAGCCTCTTGTGAAGGGATGAAATAACCTCGCGGCCAGCGCTCGCGATCCCCCTTTCCCTGCGCAAGGAACAGGTTTCTCCTCCCTCAGCGAGGGAACGTATACTCGTCAGAAAAGGGAAACCGGGACGGTAAAAAAAACCAGCGTGCCGACAACCGGACACTCTCTCTGACACTGGCCAAGGAAGAAGAAGGTTGAGCCCGGAACCCCCTGCAAGCCGAGGACGACAACGACCAAGGTGTAAGCCTCTACCCTTGTTTTCTGTAGTATCTCTATGCAACATTCACGCGTTATTGCTAACTTATAGAAATAAAGTGTTGTTGTAGACCTAGCCTGTTGCCTTACTCGCCCGAACCAGTGTAGCTGCAATGAGACAAGCTACGGATAGGGGACGTTATTCGTGCACAGTACGACTGTGTGCGGCTGGAACATTCGCTAGGCTTCTGCGTCAGCCGTACATGGGAGACCCCCTACATCTGGCGCCCAACATAACGAATTTGGCAACGCAGCTAGTTTTGTGGATGCGAGCAATTACCGACGCTCCTCCACACGTAGGACAACAAGCATGTTGTAATTTCAAGATTTGTCAATGTTGTATGATGCCACACCGCAGAGAGGCAATTCTTTGGCTAACGCGGAAGCACTCTCAGGACTTTCCGACAGCGTAGATTTTGGTCGTTTTATGTGGGACGATCAAGAGGGTGCAGAAACTGTGTTAGCAGAGATTAGGCTTACGATGGACAGCGCCATGCCAGGCACTCGTCACATAGCGACGTCAAGAAGAAAGGCGCCGCCACAAGTTGCTCCGACACACGGCCCAACTGTAGGAGAGTCTGCGGGCAACAATTTGCTCTCGAGCGAGATACTCTTACAGAATGCCCTGTCAGATATGCAAAGCTTGGCGAGTGCCCTGCATAACACAGTGCAGGCCCCCGTGAAGACTGTGCGACCACGTGTCAAGGTACATGCCTACCTACACGGGTTACCACGACTGCAAGAGTGCCAACGAGTATCTTGACCGGTAGCTCCATCAGCAGGCAACAAGGCTTCCTGAGGCAACGAGGCTTTCTAACACTGAACTTCTCGAGTGCAAGGTCCCAGGGTCGCTCACAGAGCAAGCGGCTCAATGGTTTGGCGCCCGCACGGTAGAAGAGTTCTGCTACAGCTTCCGCGGCGAATTCCTACCGGCTAATTATGAGTGGCGTTTGCAGAAGAAATTGGAGCTACGCACCCAGCATCCGGACCCGTGCCGCATCAGCACTCGTGCCGCTAATCGAGTAAACCATAGCTCGAAAGAAGTTTGTAGCACTTTTGGATACTGGGGCAAGCGCTTCTTTATTCGGTGATAATGTGTTGCACCATCTCCGTGAGAACAATATCTGCCTGAGACAAAGCAACACCATCTTCCGCCTTGCTTTGGGCACAGCACAATCGAGCGGCACGGCTAGGCTAGTAATCCACTTGCACAGACGCACGAGACGACAACGTTTCATGCATCTTCCTGGGCTGTCAATGTCTCTAATCCTGGGTCGAGACTTCCTCGCCAAGTCGGGTATTGTCATTATCATTGTAAATGGTGGTTATCAAAAGCTCGATAGAGACGCGCTAAAGATCTTCTCGGAGGCCCCCGCGTTGACGAAGACATGCCAATTGCAGAGAGAGGTGCAAGTACGCGAGGAGGAAAGCACGCCAAGAAAGCGAGTAACCACCCCGCTCGAACA